ATTCAGATCTGAATACTCCATTTATTATAATTAAAATTATACATACATTTTTTAGTAACAAAAACCATAAGTCTCTTTTGATTATGTGCTTTTATCAGTGTGGGCTTTTATCAATGTGCACTTTCATTGCTGTGGGCAATTATCACAGTGGGCTTTTTCTGGGAACCGTAACAGGCGATGAAAGGCTCAGTTTAAGACACAACAACAAATAATTTATTTATTTGCCAAATAAATAAATTAATTAATTTTTATTAACAAACAGTAAAATTTAAGGAAATGCTTTGGCAATGCACAATAACAAAGAATAATTATTATTGCATCACATAAAAATGCAGATTTTTGCAATAATTTGTGAAACTGGAAGAACTGAACTGAAGAAAATTCAGTAGCTGGAAAATTCTAGATACATTAAGTATGTTGCATGCATCACATACTTAACGTTCCTGTCACTGTAGCTTAGGCTGACCAATCATTCTCAAAACTGAAATCAACAGAACATTACTTGCAAAGCTATACGGATAGGAAAGGTTCGTCAGTTTAGCTTTGATTTCAAATGAGAATAATCAAACCCCCAAAATTAACCTTGAGTTAACTTCCTTAAGAATTAAAAAACAGAAGTTTTTATAATCCATGTGTAAAAATCAAGTAAAGTGAATAATTTGCTAGTCATCAGTTTAATCTTAATTATACTGATGTTTCACATTACACTCTGTATGATGTCAAACAGCTTTGGATATTCCATTCTTTTTCACTTAATAATATTAAAACAGAAATAAAAATAACATGTAGCAGTACACATCAATGAAACACTCAACGAAATTTTTTTCATTCGATTAAGTATATAAAGCTATTTTAAATATATAGAAAATGATCTACTATTAAAAAAAAAAAAAAAGGTTAAAGGTAGGAGAAACAAAGAGACAGGCTCATTATCATTTACTCCCCAGGGCCCGCAAAAATATTGAGAGGAATGGAAAGTCATCCAAGGGAATGCTCAGAAGGTCCATACCTGGGTTGCCACATAAATACTTTTTGCCATAATGGTGCTTTCCCTCATCAGTCCTTTTTTGCAGCCTTTCAGTGGGGTGGATAATCAATAAGTACCAAACAATTGTTAGTAATTGAAAATATTATAATTTGTTCAGTTATTGATATAAAAATCAATGATATTATTGTTCAATTTTTGACAATACTTTTTAAAATTAAATGCAAACTTTTATATTCAGTGTTGAAACAGGGTTCAACATACTTAGTTTATAAGCATCTATAAATCAGTGGCTTCCTTGGACTATAGTTCATTTAGCACAGCAGATGAGCAAAGTGTGACAACTGTTTCACATATTTTTCTACATAATCTTGCCAGAAAAGTAGTGTTAGTTATAAGGTCTCAGAACTTTTATGAATTATTCAAATCTTTGTTAGTCAAAAAATAAAAAAAAAACTACTACAAGATTTAAAATAAGTTTCTCATTTGCAATGTAATTAAACTTATGCTTCATAAGAGTTATAATCACTGCTCTGCCAATAATGTCTTTGTAGAATTTATAAAAAAGTTGTAATTGTGATTATGCAAATCCTGATCCTTTGGAAAACTATAACGAATTTTTGATTAAAAAGCCAACGATTTCGAAGCAAGCAGTGACAACACTGTGCGGAATAAAACATTTTATCTCCAGCGCATATAATTTATCGAAAAGTTTAAAGATATGCTGTTTTTAAGTATTTTGCTGTTGAATTGAATTTTATGTGGTGTAACCATCAAGAACGTGATATTTAAAAGATAAAGTAAACACACAAAATGTGAATAACAAAAAGACAAAGTTTTGCAAAGCCATCTGAGTACGAGAACTGAACAATGATATGATAAAATGAAAAAAAAAAAAAAAAAAAAAAAAAAAAAGAAGACTCATAAAACAGAAAAACATACGCCAACACTTAAAGTTGCATTAGGAATTCTAAATGTATACTGCTTTTAAAACTTGTGATTTTGCTGTTGAATAGTATATGATGCAAGTGTGAAGAAAATGATTATTGTAACAGCAGATTGATAGACTGCGTGTACAAACCTTAACAAACCCTTCTGGGTGACTGATAAAATCTTAAAACTTTCAGAACTTTTTAAAATTATTTCCTTGTGAAATAGAAAGATTATTAAGATACACAGAATCCAAAATGATTAAGAAAAATGCACTCTGTTTGGCAAGATAATCAATAAGCATTAACATAGTTTGCTATATCAACATGCTTATCATCTTCAAGAATATATCGTTTATACATTCAATACAAAACAGCTAGTATTTTAATATTAAATGTTTTCTTCTCATACTTTTAATCATATTGATAAACAACATATCCTGAACTCTCAATAATTCATGTGTGGATTCTATTTATATATCATTTAAGGGCTAGTTACCTTCTTGATTCACAGACTAGGGTCCACAAATCACTATTATTTACTGATAATGTTACAGGGTTCGTAGCCACATTTTAGTTAAAAAAATAAGCACCTATAAGCACTTTTCAAGCACATTTTAAGGAAAAAATAAGCACCTGTCTAATTACATTATACACAACTGCATAACCTTACCATGGAAAACAACTTTTTTTTTTTTTTTAAATTTTAAATGACAGTTCAATTTACAGAATTAGTTTACAATGAGAGGGGGGGGGAAACTATGCAGAACTAAACTATATTACAAGATTTAATGATGAAATTTCAGTTCAAAATATAGAAAATAAATAATAAGCCATATTAATTGTATTCGTTTGGCACCTAATAATAAATACAATTTATTTTTCCACTCATAATAATATTTAAATAATTTAACTTTAATCAAAATTCTGAACATTTTCTAAACTTTCATTGCATAACAGTTTTTCCTTAACATATATTCCAAGCAAAGTAATTTAAGTAAAAAAGAGGCACATTTCTGAAATCAGAAGACAGTAAATTGCTTCATGCAGTCATCCTTTAACAGTAAAAGCTTAACTAACCCGCATACTCGGAAACTGCCGAATATTCTGGATAATAACTGGAAAAAGAGGAGTGGGGGAGATTGTAGCCGTTCTTTAGATTTCTCGGCTAAATAAATGATTTTGATATTTCGATATGTGCATTATATAAAAATAGAGCAACGGAACTGAGAAATATTCTGCTTAGAAAGCACAGTAAAACTCTTTTGAGTGTTCATAAACAAATCTCAGACTGAACTTTAAAATCAATTATTTCTGTAAAATACTGCAAACGTTATTGCGAAATACGTGCAGCGTAATTCTTCCACATGTGATATTACACAATCGGAATCAACAGCTGCCGGTATTCGGAGAATTAAGAACTAAATAAAGGAAAAGAAAGAGACTTACTAATCTGGGGTGTTTCTGATTCTAATTTTCAACAGATTGCGTTAAATTTCCGGAATAGAATCAATCTTCGCTTGGGTTAGGTAGACCGCAAAAACTTTTAGTTTTATTCAATCCAGACTGGATAGTAACAAAAAAAAAAAAAAAAAAAGTCCGCTGCTTCAATATTAGAGATTTTGTGGAGAAAGGGGATAACCTCCCAACCTCCATAATGCATAATGTATTGGCCCCCCCTCAAAAAATTGACTATTCGATTACTTTCCTTTTATTTAAGCCATTCCAAATATTATTCCTTAGAAAGCTAATCTGTGTAAAAACACACCCAATTTTGGAAGTTTATCTATACTTTAGCAGTTACTGCAACTATATTATTATAAATATTCATGCATATGCTCATAATATAAACACGAATATGAACTGACCACGCGGATGCAAATTATTAAAATCTTGGTAGAAATTCAAATGTGTGTAGTATTTGGGTGCGAGGAAAAGAATAGCGAATGGAACGGAATTTTCTACTGTTTTCGCAATTCTTTGACCAATAGAACGACGTGCACCTGTCTGTACTCTCGCGCACACCATAGGTTATGTTAATGCAGAGAGAGGGGGGAAAAGCAATTTCCGGGAGTATGATTCACCATCTGACATTGCATATAAGGAAGAAAAGTTGTTTATTTAGTTTCGGCTTTGGTACGGAGAAAAATGCGCGTTCATTTAAAAAAAAAAAAAAAAAAAAAAAAAAAAAACACTAAAAGCAAAAAATAAGCACTAAAAACAAAAAAATAAGGGCTTTAAAGAAAAAGTAAGCACCTATAAGGGCCTTTATATTTTATTTTCAAATATAAGGACTTATAAGCACTTGTAAGGATCATTACGAACCCTGTGTTACTTTTCCTTAAGACGAAGGAAGGAAGACATTAGAGGGTCACAAAGAATGCTGTGCCTACAGCCTCAAGCTTTCTTAATGATGCTCTGGTGGAAAAAATTTTAAACATAGTTTCACTCTCGCAAAACCAACAAAAGTTTCAATGAAAGATGTGGAATGTGTCATGGAAATGTTGGATAATGGATGTTTCCTTATCAATGGACTGTTTACTGTAACATTGCATGCCCATTTATCAGTGAATTCTTATGATTGTTGAATATGAAATGTTTTTTGCTTTGTTTTAAAATTTACATATGCACTGTTATTATCTCAATTAATAACATGTTATACATAATTTATTTTAAATCAGGAAAGGATTTGTACTTTACAGATTACAGTTACTTCTTATTGAATAATTAATTGAATTTTTTCTATATAGATTTATAAGCATAATTGTGTGCGTATTTAATTATGGCAAACCACACGAGGGCTATCTGCCTAAGGGGAGGGATGCCTTCGTGGAGGACTTTCTAAGGGAAACTGGCTCGTATACACATTACACATGGGGAAAACCACGAAAACACCCACGCAGCCAGCCTGTTCGCGGGATTCGAACCTCGGACCGAACTACCAGTGTTCAGCGACTTTACCTCTCGGCGCTGGTGGGCCCCTTATAAGCATAATTAGCACTGATAATTGGAAGTTGAGATTACTGGTATCACTGAGAACACATTAATTTCCACTACATTACTATTAATCCACTATTACTACTACACTTAAGTTACACATTTTATTCTAAAAAGAAATTACACAGATAGAAGGAACAGAATTCCTTACAATTAATCCTAAGAGTAACATTTCTGTTCTTAATATTATATAAAAAAATTCATATTTTCCCAGGAAATCTGCCTTCTTCACGTTGTTCATCCCACTTGTCCGTCTAAAGAACAAAAAGCTTTATTAGTTATGGAAACATACAACATGAAAAAAACCTTCTTTTTAAATATTTTATAATCACTCAACATAACTAAAAAACATCTTGGTTCACATGTATTTTGGTCTGTTTGACCATACAGACTAAATAAATTGAATTTTAATGAACCCTAATCTTTAATCATTGCATCCAAACATATAGAAATATCTATCTCCTTTTTAATCCAATAAAAAGTATAACTTTACCTTTTGTGAAAGCAACACATAAAATGAAAAGTTAAAGATATATACTGGCAGGAAAAATTGAAGGAACTATAAAAGGATGCTCTGTGTTAATTCTGTGAAGTCTAATGAAAGGCATTTGGTAGCTCAAGTCAACATGTAGTCCAACGGTATTCACCTTCATTTTAATACAAGTAGGTAAATTTTTGTACCTATTCTTTTTGGCATATGACAGAAAATTTTACAAGAGTGTACTTTAATTCTAATTTCAATGATTGCATAAAAAACTAAAAATTTTTGTGCGAGGGAGGTAAAACGTATCACTGAGAAGGCATATGACAAGTAGTGAGAAATGTCATGCGAATGGGAAAATGGAAGCTGGACAGCTCACTGTTGCTGAGAGTTTCTGTATTACTGGAATACGTCAGTTAAGTTTTAAAAGTGGCCCAAAAGCTTCATGTTAAGACTCTCAAAACGGCTAAAAGGTTTTAGTTTTAGTGATACATGCAGATACCCAAGCCAAGATCGAAAGAATGCCACAACACATTTTTAGAATCATTATTTTGCAATGACTGCTTAAAAGAATCAGACAACTAATGTCAACCCAGATAGCAAGACTGTCCAGCTGCAGCTACATTTAGAGGAATTTGATGATCCAGATACATTGGGATTAACAGGCTGCATGAAAAGAGGGCTGTCTGCAGGGAAACCATAATCCCCCCCCCATTAACTCAGGCTGTAAAATGTGCGAAGTTGCAGTGGTGTAGAGCAGGGCTGTGGAGTCGGTAGGGAAAATGATCAACTATGACTCCTGGAATTTTAAAGACTCCGAATCCTTCATATATACATATATACACACGGGTTACAGCTTATTTTTTAATATAAAAGAAGTAATAGATGCTACAGAAAAAAAAAAAATGATGGCATAGAAAATGATTTATATTAATTAGCATTTATTATGAAATGGAAAAACTGGCATTGATTATTTCTAAGAAACGGCATAGCTTCAGCAAGATCTTTGTTTGAGGGTCGTAGATCCGATTTGATAAACTTCAGAGCTGAGAAGAGTCTTTCCACAATAACTTGAGTAGGAGGAAGAGCTGTTACTGTTATGGCTACTTCTTTTAACTTTTCAGGATTTTTACAAGTTCTAAAAGAGGTGTCTTGCAAGTGCAATCATATTTCTCTATTTCTTCAAAGGCCATGTAGAAATTTTGTTTGCATTTTTTCATTTTTATATCTAAAGGCTCTTGGTTCTTTAATTTCTCTTGCCTTGCCTTAGCCTTTTCAATATTATCTAAAAATATTTCTCAAAATCTAATTCATCATTGAAAGAGGATGATAGAGACTCAACTGCAATGTCTGCAGTTTGACTGTCCTGATTCAAATTCTCCAAATGCTCTGAGAATAATTTCATTTTTAATGAAAGTTTCATAGGTGGCTTTCTTTGCGTTTTTAATTTCTTCATCATCCAAGAAAATTCTGTGTTTTGGATCTACATATTGAAACCAACAAAATTTCATTGTCTAGTAAACTAGTTTCTCTTTTCTTCATTGAAGAAATGATTCCTTCTGCAATAAAACCTCCATTTTAGAAAGAACAAACATCCCATTCTTTCATTCTTGCTTCCTGTCAATTCTTCAGATTGCAGCTTTTTTGCGGCTATATACGGTGTAGAAAGAAGAGTTTCCAATTCTGCAAGATCATTCCACAGTCTTTTTGTTAGTGAAACATTATGGTTATCTACATCTTCTAAAAAATTTCTTAATTCTAAAAACCTCTTTATCACCAAATATGTACTTACCTAATCATGCTGCTTGATCAATAATTGCTCATTTTCCTGCTTGCTTACTAAAAATGGCATTATTTTGGGAGTTCTTGCTGCTATTGCTGCTTACCTAAGTTTACCAGTGAGATTTGTAACTAAATGAATCAGTTTAATCACTAATGGCAAATATCACATCCATCCTCCTCCTTTATATTTATTTACTAATATGTTAATAAAATAGAAAATAACCATTTATTAATGTATATAGTTCATAAATAAAAATAATAACTCAGCTTGTCATTAGTTTTTTTTTAATTAATTTTAATTTCATTTCAAATTCAAACAGTCCAACAAAAACTGGAGTCGGAGTCAACCTGTTTTTAGCGACTCCGACTCCTTTTACCCCAAAATCTGCCTGACTCGATTCCACGACTCCAACTCCACAGCTCTGGTGTATCGGTGTAGAGATTATCTTAATTGAAGCATTCTCTTTATATATGAGTCTCATTTTTGTTCAGACTGATTTCAGATGTTCCAATCTGGAAGAAGCAAAAACATGAGAATTCAGCCAGAAAACATCTGTGAAAAATATCAGCACAGAGGTAATGGAAACAGTCACGATGTGGATGGGCATTATTTTGAATGGCTATACTAATCTACATATCTTTACCAGCACAACTTATGAATCTTGAAATCCACAAAGTTTAGGTTCTTGATCATCATGTCAAATTGTAAAGAGATGCAATGGATAGTATCTTCCTCCTAACCGTCATCTCCATTGCACTGCACTAGCAACTACTGCTTATTCTCTAAATCTTACATAAGGAAAAGAAATATATATACAGTGGTGGCCAAAATTGTAGACACTTTTGGAAATTTTTATGTTTTTGAACTTTGTATGCTTACAGAAAATGTTACGTTTCACAAAACGCAAACTTGTATATATCATTTTAAAGAGAATTTATTACTGAATTCAATACAAAACACAAAATTAATTTATTTGCAATACAATAAAAGTTAAACGATAATAGTTACCAAATATATTAGATAGTGATGATTGCAGTGAGTTATCAGTACTTAGTAGGGTACCCTTTATTTTTTATTACAGCTTCACATCGACATTTCATTGAGCTGACAATGAGTTTTAAGCTCTTCTTTTGTTATTACATGATGGCAGGAAACAATTATAGCCTCAATTAGTTCCCTTTTATTTGATGGGTGCCTCATTCGGACAAGAGTTTTCAAACGGTGTCACAAATTTTCGATAGGATTGAGGTCAGGACTGTTTCCTGGCCATGACAACAATTTAATGCTCTTTGTACGAAGCCACTCTTTCGATATTTTGGCCGTGTGGCAATGAGCAGAATCCTGCTGAAAAATAAACGAAGCATTGCTGGGAAAGAGATCTCTGATGGAAGGTAGAAGTTTTGGTTCTAGAATAGTGTCAATGTATTTTCTGGCATTCAGTGTCCCATCGATGACACGAAGGCGACCAATACCATCTGCTGACATGCATGACCAAATCATAACACTAACTGTGTTCTTCACAGTTGCTTGAATGAAGTCAGGATGTAACTCTTCTCCTATTCTATGTCTTACATATTTTCGCACATCACTACCGAATAACGATATCTTAGTTTCCATCACTCCATATAACTTGTGACCACTGATCATCTGTCCAATTAATGTGTCATTTGCCCACTGTAGTCTTTTTTTTCGTTGCTGAAAATTAAGATAAGGCTTTTTTCGTGGAATTCTACCTCTCAGTCCAACATCTATTAATCTTCTCCTGATTGTTCTTGAACTGACAGAAACACCAGCATCATTCAAATTACTTCTGATGGCCACTGATGACATTTTTCTATCTTGGAGACATAGTCTTTTTATTCTTCTGTCATCAATAGATGTGGTGCACATTTTTCGGCCTTTTCCTTCTTTGCTTTTTATTGAATTTGTCTCCTGATATTTTAAACAAAACTTTCGGACTCCAGATGTAGTCACTGAACCACCACCTGTCTTGCAATTTCAGCATAGGAAAGAACACTTTCTCATAACACGACAATATTACATCTCTTTCTAGGTGTCCAATCTATTCTTTTATTTGATGTCATTGCTTCTTGACTAAATATTAAAATTTTTTACAAAAATTCCTACTTGTAATTGCAGTGTATAAGAAACAGGTCCTCCTTCTACAGAACAAAGCAAAATAATGATTTGTTTCAAGTGTAAACATGATGTCAGCTTCTATTGGCAGTTACTAACATTTGATTGGTTCTCGGAACAAGAACGGTGACTGGCCAGGAAAGCTAGACATTACAAACCACTTCATAACTTTGTGTTTTATTTATATTATTAAAGTACATATAACTTTTTTTGTATTGCAAATAATTGAATTTTGTGTTTTGTATTGAATTCAGTAATAAATTCTCTTTAAAATGATATATACAAGTTTGCATTTTGCGAAAGGTAACATTTTCCATAAGCATACAAAGTTCAAAAACATAAAAATTTCCAAATGTGTCCACAAATTTGGCCACCACTGTATATATATATATTTTCTTTTTTCCAATTATTTTTTGTAGATTAAACTGTTTGGTAGTTATTACAGGAGGTTTTTTTCGCATAAACTTTAACTACTCTAGTATTGTTGTATTATTGTTTTTACTTGATGTTACTGGTATACTATGGAACCACAGTAACATATTAGCCGATCAACGTTTGGGACCATGTACCAATTTGAAGCTTGCTACTGTTTTTTAGAACACAGATCTCGCATCAGAAATCGATAAAGAGAAAAAAAATATGTGTGGCACAGATGCACTCCTGATCAATGTTTAACAATGCTCTTACCTGAAACTATATGTACAGTGAAGTTTTTTGATAAATTTCATGAACTGATTTATTTTGTTAACTTTACTACTTACTGTTGCTCAAAGTTTAAGTCATGTTATAAAATAAAACAAAATCATTCAATTTGGTTTAATCTTTATTTAACATTATTTTTTATTGTTTAAATTCATTTAGTCTTATTGCCAAGTTTTAACATGTAAATACAGCCTTAATCTCTGCTTTTTAATTCTCCCATTCTTATTCCCATGCAATTCATACCGAAGCAAGTTTCAAGCATTTGTTTAATAAATTCATTGCAGAATCAGACGTTTACTATTTTAATAATAGAAAAGGGAAATCAACCTTAGTAAATACCTAAATAAGCATACCTAATAAAAAAACCTAAATAAGTATACACTAGGAGTGTATACTTAAATGTGGTAGTTTAGCATGAACTCAGGAACTAGTACCCTGGGGGTGGCTATAATGACAAGTTTATGAAAAATAATAATAAAAATAAACAACAATACATAAATAAATATGTTATTACATCAAAATAGAGCTAATTTATGCACACTGTAAAAGTTATAATGTTCTAATAATTTATGTTAGCACAAAAACATTTATGAAAAACTACTGCTATAGCATGTTGCTATCCAAAAAAAGTTGTTGCTGTTTTGCAACTGAAATTTTGGCACATAACAATCAGATGAAATAAAATTATTTTCTTAGTGCCAACTACTGCAAAAGCAAAACCATCTGAATCTTTTTGCTGGCTTTTGATTTGAAGAGAAGAATGCATATTCTGCTTACAATTTGAAATGTTATAGTTTCATGAAATGACAAGTTTATAAATTCTGTATGAACATATGAACAGAGGTTACAGATATAAAGCATAGCCTATCATGGTTGAACATAGTATACAAGAATAACGGGGACAGAAAATAATTTACTGTATATGTAATCAGATGTCTCTAGTAGTTGAAAAATTGATTCATTTAGTCATATAGTGTTATTTAGACCCAGTATGATTTAGTTTTTGTCAAAAGCTGAATTGTACAACTCTTAATATGATAAAAACATAAAATAATTCATTATAATAGCAAGTGTTTGCTGGCCAACTATTTAAAATTTAGATATCTGAATGGCTGACATTGTAAAATTACTTTGTAGGCACCACATTGCTGACCCCCAGAAGAGAACCTGTTAGGGACGCAGACTTGCATAATCGCAATCTCCTTTGCATGCTCTATCCAGTACCTTCAAGGTACTATTCATTGTGAAAATATTTTTAAGAAAAAGAATTAATAGAAAAGCGAAAGAAATTATAAAATTAAAAATATGAAATAGTTTGTTTAAGACACAATGATACATTTATGATCTTAATCTTTTGAGGCCGGGGCTTTGGTAGCAGTGAAAGTTACCAAAGAATGGGGAATCTTGAACCGAATGCTTTCCCCCCTTTAGGAAATCACCTCCTATTTGCAACAAAAATTCTTGTGTGTAGTTTAATGGATTCTCATAGGGGTGCATTTATGTCGCAAAAGGAAGACCTTTGAAAGAGATAAGTGGTTAAAACCCTAGGGATGTCAAATTTGACATTTCACCTCACATTAAAGCCTGGAAAATGGGAAAAAAAGACATGGTCACTAAAGTGAACAATCCCGTCTTTTCAAAGAGAGGACTCTATGGCCACTATAATGGCCATCCCGTTTTCAAAATCTAACTCCCAAAAGCTCAGTATTTATTTATTTGCTTTATTAAAAATTTCTTTTAATGTAAGCTGTTTAAGCTACTTCACATAATTTCTTGCTTAAACTACAAAGTTACATTGTTCCAGTCCTATAATTGCTGAGGCAAGAATTTCCACTAATTTGTCAACTGAATTTTTTTTGTTCTCTGTTTGGCCAATGATTACGATTTACAAAATCTATTTTTTGCACATGGAAAGATATTTCTTCCTGTCAACAGACACAGTGCTTTTAAGTAGAGTTGGCTGAAGTCTGTAATCATTGCCAAGCACTTCTTTTCATTATCTGCACTTCTAGTTTAAACATATAATGATCCCACATTTATGTTACAGAATCATATTATCAGAATATTTTAATTAAGAAAAATTTTTTTTAAAAAAGTTGTGTTACATGTAGTTTAAAGACATAAGAAATAACAGAACTAAAAATTACTAGCTGCATGTAAAACAAAATAATGAAATTTAGTCACCAGTTATGTAAACATAGGTTTTGGCATTTTTGCATTCATGAGGCCATGATATGACAATTTCCGGTTCTAACATATGTTAATGGAATTTATTACATGGAGTAAGCATGTCAAGTTATAATTTGGTTCAAGATTAATACATCAATCAACAAATTCCTTTGTCTGAAAAAGTAAAGTAAATTTGAAAAATAAGTTAGATACATTTTTCTGATAGCAAGGCATGTCTTATTCTAAAATAATGAACTTCAAAGGACTTTGTGTAATTATAATGAAAATCTTAAAAGTGAAAATAATAAAGTGCATGGGAAAACTAAAAAGCATTCATATTAAACTACAAATTTATGTGATCTTTAGTACTGAAGATGAGATCATATCGTTTTAATTAATAACATAATTCTTTCTTCAAGGATTGTTAATCTTTAACTCCTTGAAATTATTAAGCTATATATATGACAGTTTTAAAAAATTACAGGTTCCTATAATCAGCAATGTAGTCTAGTTAATGGACCTATACTACATTGCTATCCTAAATTAAACTTTTTAGGTATATTTTCAAAACTTAATGCAACTAATTATGAAAATGCCAGTTGAGAATGGGTAATTAACATGGCTATATTCAAGACTCGTAGAGCTCGAAATAATAATAATAATAATAATAAAATTCCCCTTGAAAATATGAAGCTGAAATAGGTTTCGAATTTAGATTTTATCAGCATTGAACAAAAACTGAAAAATACTCAAGTATCTGATGCTAGTCTTTTAAATTTTCTTTTCAAAAGGTTCTGAACTGAACTATGCAGCCTATCTCAGCTTGAAGGGTCAATACTTAAAGAATACTAAATAGATTAAATCATGTATTTTTAAGAAATAAAGAATGAACGGAAATATATTTATTTAAAATTAATACAAAAGCATGATAGCTCATGCATAAAACTGCATTTGAAACAGAATATAAAAAAACTGTGCATTACTATTCTCTTACCCAAGCATTAGGGCATATCGAATTATACACTCTTTTGAAATATTCACAAGGAGCATAATCTTCTCCCTTTGCTTTCCTGCATCGATGATAATCTAAATAGTTTTGCCAACAATTTCTGCAATGCAAAATAATACATCAAATCACAAAATGTTATTGAACTTTTATATAAATATCGCTAAACTTTATGAAAAGATTTCGCAGTTTGATAATAATGCAATAATAAATATTAAAATACTGATTTAAAGATACTTAAATTCTGCTAAAACACACATTCACTTTAAAAATAAAGACTCACAACTTAGGTAAAATCTTTTACTATTTAACTTCCTCAAGCTAATTTTTGGGCAAAATCCAGCATTATGAATTTAAAATATCAATTTTCTATATTATATATTCTGGTAACTGCAATATTACATACTGCACCACCTTAAACTTTATATTATACAAGAACAAATTAAACAATCAATTAGAAACAGAGATAAAATTACTTTGTTTGATTAGTATTGGGGAAACGAGGATCGAAAGGAGCAGTCCAAAATTGCTTCTCCCCAGACATAATCGAAGCAGACATCACCTAACGAGAATAGACGGCCAAAATAAACAAATAACAATACATAAGTTTTATGAGAAACAATTTCAATAAATTAAGAAAAAATAAAAAAAATAAGGTATTCACAGCAACATACTGCTGCTTTCATTTGTCATCATTATACATTAAATGTTATGATACTGAATGAAATGAAACTGGTCCCAATAGTTATAAGTCTAATAAAATATCCCATTCTCGGCAAAAGGTTAAATTTGCTTACAATTCTCTTTAATATTAAAAAATACTTAACTAATAAAATACCTTTTCCAGTTTAAAGGGAATTTCAACAGAAGATACCAATCTATTTACACTGAAATAATATTTATGCAAAGTTATATAATATCAAATTTATTTTTAAAATCTTAAATTGAAGTATTAAGCAGCATTCATTCTGGTACTTATGAGTTCATCTTGAGCTGGAAGCTAGATAACAGTGAAAGTAAATAGTGATCTCCATTACTTCAGCTGCAATTCTTTAACTATGGCAATGATCAAGCTGACAACCCTTCTCTCATTCTGGTGAAAACAAGTCAAAAGTCGTTAATTCGAACACCAATAATCCGGAATGATCTATAATCCGGACCTCAAAGCTACAAACTTTCTGCGTATGCGCGTAAGACCTTTACGGCTGTGAATATGCGTGCGCGCATAATACGTTTAAGCTTGCGCGTTTAACGTATAACGGGCGGTATAAGCTAAGCTAAAATTATCTAATTCAGTTAATGTTGCAGATTGCATTGTTCCTTAATCTTTGAATTGGATCCGGCTTATTATTTTTTGCAGACAGAGCAATTTTATAAAAGTAAGCTTGAACTTTCGATTACGTCAAATAGAATTTCCGATGCTGGAGCTGCCAAAGAAACTACAAAGCGAAAGTATGTTTCGATGTCCATCAAACAAAAAGTGGAATTGCTGCAAAAAATGGATAAAGGCATATCCTTTGTTTCTCTAACAATTCCGAAATCTGTTTGTCAATTTCATGCTGCTCTGCAGGGAAAGGGAGGGGAGAAGCCGCGGCGCGCAATGAATTGGAAGTTGATCTGTCAGCACTATCCTTATCTTCAGGGCAGATGTTTTTATTTTATTTGGCTTAGAATTCCTTACTAAATGTAGTATTTCATCTCGACGTACTCAGTCTTTTACATGATTTAAATCAAATTCCTTGTCATTATAATTCACTTCCAATAGTGAAGAAAGTAAAACAGAGGTTATTGAAAACGAAAAAATTTCGATTGACAAATTAGTCGGTATTCTCGACACAGCAATTATAGAACTTGAACAGCGGATCTTTGTAACCAAACAAGAAATTATGTCTGTTTATAGAATTAAAGTGAAAGTATTATCACATAAAACGAAGCAACTTAAACAACTTACATTGAAAGAAATGTTTATTAAAGTAAACAAATAAATATTAAGCTTTTTTTTATAAATTTTGATACCCTTTAGATCATAATTGCTCTTTATTTCATAAATTACAGTTTCATATTTTTAATTTTATAATTTCTGCACGCCATCTTACTAGATTTAAACTGATGATCTATAATCCGGAATCGCCGAAGTCTCGACGAGTGTAGATTAACGACTTTTGACTGTATTACTTAGCTATTGCCTGCAATATAGTTTCATAGTTGGGCAGAATAATTAACAAGAACAATGTTCATTCAATTATTGAACTAAGATTCAAATTCCTTGTGCTTCATCCAATAATTCTGTATCTTACCCAGAGACACAAAGACCAGTATCTAGACAAACTGTCTTACATAGGTTCAATAGGACAGTCTATTTGCAAGACACTATAACTTTTTGTCAATATCCCACATCAGAACCTAAAACTTTTAAGGGGGAAATAAATACCCTTTATGGGTCAGCCTCTAACTTCCAGAAGGAAGAGAACTCAGGACCTGATACAAATATATACTGGTGGCCTGATAGTTAAAATTAATGATTTTACTATGTTACTTTTTATTTTATAAATTAAACATTAAATCACTTTATGATATTCAAAGTGATCATTAGTCTGCCTCTGTACTTCAAATGTGGTACAAAATTTTTATGCCTTCTGATGATCAATTTTGGTTTTGATGATTTTCAGCTCATGCAGCATTCTTATTCATCTAACTACAACTATTAATCTCTATGATGACACAGAATTTTTTAATAAAATATAACACTATTTACAATTAAATTAAATTAGAGATGATTTTTAGTATGTTTTTTTTATGGTAGCTTTGGCAAATAAGTTTGCATCTGCATTGGCAAGGAACAAAAAGTAGCACGATTTATGCATGCAAATGGTTAACAATCTAACTGGTTTCTCGTAAAGGTATTCTGTCAATATAACTTATTATTCATTATAAAATGCTCATTATGCTTCACATTTTCAGTCTTCCATCAATGGAAAAAGAAGCTATAATTTATGTTTGAGCCATTATTAGTAGCAACTGCTGAACTGTTATCAGAATAAAGACTGCAAAAAATAAATTTTTGGATATGCTTAAATTTTTTTAAAAAATTAATTGATAACAAAACAGTACAGTACAAAGTCTGTAATCTGGACTCGTTGGGACTTCGGCGATTCCGGATTATAGATCATCAATTTAAATCTGGTAAGATGGCATGCAGAAATTATACAATTAAAAATATAAAATCGTAATTTATGAAATAAATAGCAATTATGATCTAAAGGGTATCAAAATTAACCAAAAAAAAAAAAAAAAAAAAAAAAAAAAAAAAAAGCTTAATATTTGTTTACTTTATTAAACATTTCTTTCAGTGTAAGTTGTTTCATTTTTTGTGCTAAACTCGCATGCGTAAACGCATTACGCACATGTGTAAAGCATACAAAAAAATAGTTTGTGGTTTTGAGGTCCGGATTATAGATCACTCTGGATAATGGATGTCCGGATCACAGACTTTGTACTGTATTAGGTAAAATTACATATAGAATTTTCCATGTTTATATATAGTGTTACTTTAAATAAAGTACTTATATAATTGTATTAAATAAGATAATTAATGCCTATATTTCATAAATTCTGTTGGATTATGTTATAATTTTAAACAAATTATATTAAATACTATAATAAATAGAAATTTATAACTTTCTATTATGCATCTGCCACACATTGTGGTGTGTATTTTTAATTGTAGAAAATTTTTAGTTACATAAAGAGTTTATAGATAGCAATTTATTCATTCTTAAAAAAAAAAAAAAAAAAAAACATAAGCTACAATGAATGGGGATAATACACGGAAGACATAAATCAATGAAAGTCAGCTCTTTGCAAATCAAATAAATAGACTGTGGACTGATGAGAAAGAAGATGAGTGAATTCTCAGATCATGTTCCTTTTTGGATGCCCTTTCTCTTTTATGTATGAATGAAGATAGTAGAACCATTTAGCTTTGGGCAAATGTTCGACTTTCATCGGATGTGTATTTCATGTGCAACAAGAACAAAAGTCTGTTTCTGGTTAGTTTTAAACATTGAATTTAAATTAATTTTCAAGTTTCTAGAACTCTCAAGTTAAACTAGACATTTAATTATCCAAGAATAAATATAACACACTATTTTGAATTCAACAGTATTATTTGCAAATCTCTTAACTACTTTTTACCTTTGAAAACTTTTAGATGGTTTCTAATTTTAATGAAGACATTTCAGTGGTGAAAAGAAGAGAAACTTTGATCTTTTAGAAGAAGGTTTTCCATGACTGAGGTAATTCAACTTGAGAGCAATCTGCATAACAGGAATGATGACTTTAAAGATAAATTTCTAAGAAAAACTGGCTCATATTCACATTACATAGCAGGAAGACACTATGCAGCCAGCTCATTTGTTGGGATTTGAATTCAGGCTGAATGAATTACATTGTACAACATTTCTTGTTTACATTAGCTTTACATAAGTGATTTCGGAGGTCATTGGAATGTATCTCATTAACAATATTTGGCAGTACTGCTTTTCTAAAAAAAAAAAGATCTATTTTCATTTGTAATGATCAACTGTATTAACTCATTTTTTTACAAATTAAAAAATAAAATTGTTTATATGTATCACACTCATGCATACACAAAAGAAAGGAATTCACTGAAGGAAAAAGATATAACTAAAACAAAATATGCAAGTTACATTTCTATACTCTTAGCTTTAAGAAGTGATTATGAACAGCTCTGTATACAAAATTGATTTCTACAGGAATACATTCATATAACCAACATATTTCATCGAAGGCGAAACAATTAAGAACAAAATTATGATTACACAGAAATTTTCGGACATTCGAGCACAAAAATGGACGTAATATGTTTTGTTGGGAGGAAGAAGTAAAGAAAATTTACTTGTAATAGATAAAGTCATAAGAATTTTATTTCATTATCCATAAATTTAATTCGCGTAATGTCTTGGAATGGCACTTAAAAAAATTAGCTTTTGAAGTGAAGCAATTTTGATTAATTAGTAAATGCAGGATCGCTCGACATTTTAAAATCTTTATCTAAATACTTCAAAATTTATTTGGTGTTTCAACGCTTTTACATTCATAACACACAATCAATGTAACACAAGTAAAAGACTAAATTAATTGTTAATACGGAAGAGAATAAAGAAGTCCTTCCAAGTGAGAAAACATATCACACTGCACCTTACAAAACTAAGAAATGAATATTAGTTCGTATAGAATGCGTGCTATAAATTTAAAAACAGGTTTTCACGAAATAGCAAAATTTACGGAACCAAGAAAATAATATATTAAAGTTGCAAATACATGATACCTTAGCAAAGTTTACAGAAATATTCAATGAAGGGCAAAGATAAAATTAACTGTTGCCAATTTCTGTAGCATTAAATTTGAGATAAGAATGAGGCTCTATTTTGAAATAAAAGCAGCTAGTTTTTTTTTTCAGCTTTTTGTTAATTAAATGTTTAGAGGTGATTAAAAATTTCGAAACTTTCCTCATAATGTAAGTTTAAGTTAGATAAGCTAAAATTATTGACATATTCAATGAAGTTTCAAATGATGAATTATCAGTGGTTTAAATTTCAAATGCAGTAGGGGAATGGTAAACGATGTAAGGCGTGGCTTTCACTGCTGTATGTTTCTCGTTGAACCAATCATTGTGTAGCACAAACTCGAGTCGTAGTTACTATATATAAAACCTGTGTTGTTTACTAACAGTCTGTGAGCTAGGTAGCGAAGTTAGTTAATTTTTAATAATTTTTTAGCCCTTTATACAGTTTTCGACTGTAAGGGCTTTTAAAATATAAGGTGAAGGAGGTGCTGACGGTGGTGATTCCGTGGGGAAGATTGTTGACTTAGGTCAAGGCAGAGATCTTTATAATCCGAGGCGAATATTCTAGAAGCTCTTGGCCTACTTCAAGGTTTTGGCTTGCTGAATTAGAGCAAAAGCAAACAATAATAAAAAAGGAAAAGAAAAAAATAAGTTGCCGGTAGCAGTCAGATATATCTATCTGATTGCAGATTTTACGCTAATCTTGTCTGTATAAGAAATAAATCAGTTTTAATTACGTAATTTCGAAAAATTTGAGGCTCCAGTGTTTGCTTGAATTACAAATTAAGGTTTCTCTCAGTAGGTAACGAAAATTTGTAGTTAAGGTTTCTGAAAGTTGTTGCAGAGGTTATCCCGATGTCTCTAATTTCTTCAGCATACAACAAAACTACTGGAGAGTTACTGATAAACTTGCTTTTCTTGAAGGTAAGAAACATTTTATCTTAAAATTATCTGTTCATGTGGTATCGATCGTTTAAGATCAGTAGTTCTGCCAATATAGTTAATGAGCAAAACTAATAAATTCGAAATTTATAATCTTTACTAAATTTTATGGGAATGAAAAGAAAATCTGAGAAAAGCAGGCTGTCCGTAATGTTCATCAGCAGCTGTGGATTGCATAACCCAATCAAGTTTCTTATCTTCTGTTTTATTTCTTTTACTAGTTTTCCTTCTTTTCAACAGATTATTTTTACTGTGCATACAAACGGAAAGAACTATATTTATCTTCAGCGATATTTATATTATAATATGCTAATGAGATAGGAAAAAGGTATCGGTTTCTTATTTTTGTTTTTATCTTCTTATGATCATTTGCTAATCACTACATTATATATAGAAATTCATTACGTGTATTCATTATTACCGATTCCTAAGACTCTAATTAATTGTCCTGTCCATTTATTTGTGGAAAGTAATTGTTTAGATTTACAGTTGGGGGAATTGTTGATTCAGTGGATTGTGTTGATAGTGGATGTTTCGGAATCGATACAAATTTTTTTAATGAAGTTTTTTGTTTTAGTGGATAATTAGAAATTGAATCAATTTTTTAAAATTAAGTTTTTGTTTCTTTTGAAATGTCAAAATAATCACAGAGTTTAATGGAGTAGCCTGATGTCATGATTAAAAGTTTAGCTGTTTTAAGAAATGTTCATAATTTCAAACTTTGATTAGATGATATATTTTAATTTTATAGACAGGAGATTCCTTGCTATATAATGTTTAAAATATATTTGTTAAATTACTGACAAATTTTTTATGTACTGTACTGGAAGAAAAGTCCAGGAGATGAAAATATCTGTTGTTGAAATTCTGTTATGATTTATTATTTTTCACTGAAATAAAAGTTGTTTATTTTGATGTTTGAAACATAAAATGTTTAAGTAGACTTGTAATATGTTTTTGCTGCCAAATCCTGTGTGTACTATATACTAGGATTAAACCTTGTTATCCCTGTTAATCTCCATTAAAGCGCATATTATTTCTCTAAAAGCATTATCAGTTCTAGATTTGATAGAGTATTTTTGCTGTTTGAAGAACAGAAATCCTTATCAGTTTTCTCAAAATCCATGTTTTTCTGTAAAAGCCTCATTCATTATAAGCTGAATTTTACAAAATTTGAAAGATTTGAAATTTTCAGTGTTTTAATAACTGTCTGGAACTAAGGGATTAAAGATGCTGAATACTAACAATTTTGTTCCAGTTCAGTTTCTCTGTTGGAATTGAGCAATGTGCAGTGCATGTGAGCCAGTTTTTCATGAATAACTCTGTATGAAAGCATTCTTCCTAGGTAACAATCACATGCTTTGTTTTGATAAAATATAAGTCTGTACTCAGTATGTTGATAATGAGTGATCCATAAATTGAAATATAAAAGGTTTTTCCTTTAGCTTGGCCACTTGGGGAATCTGCTTATCAAACCATTAATGCTTTCTCTATACCTGTTATATCTTGTAATTATTAGCAGATTAATTTTCAGTTTATAATATTAATGATATGTAAGATTTTGTATGACATTGTAAAATTTTTTTTTCTTTTTCTCTTTCTCGTATTTCTTTTTTCTGATTTTGAAGATTGAAGTAAGGTAAGAAGTGTCTTATATTATGGATGCAGTTCATTTCAGGAGGGCATCTTTTGTGAGGAATTCTGTTTTCCATTAGTTTTAACTCATTTCTGAGCTCGGTGCAGAATTACAAAACATCATAAATTTTTAAAGGTTATTAAAAGTACTACCAGTGGTGAAAATACTGAGAATTTACTAATTTATTAACTATAAAAAATATTATATGTGTATTGTAGTTTTCAGTTCTGTTTGTAGTGAGTGTTTCTATTATATTGGAGGTGGAAGGCTTGCTTTTCTTTGGTAATAAACATATTAAATAAGTTTCCCTTTGTATCAAAATGATAGTTATATTTTCATAAAATATTTACATGGAAATGATTGTCCATTTAAAAAAAAACAATTTTTTCATGCATTGTTGTTAAATTCAAGGCATAGCAGCTAATCTTTAGAATATGGGGTGAATCTTCGGATTATGGTAACTTGGCAATTTTTTGGCGACCAACCCTGCTACAGCAACCTGCTAGTTTTTTTTTTTTTTTGGATGCCATTTTGTTTTCACGAAGTAAAGGCATTTTTTTTTACTCAACATTTTTTTCAACAATCTGCTAGCTGAATTACGCTTATGCTAGAACTTTTATAGAACAAAAGTGCTTAATCATGACAAAGATTAGGTGCGAAATTGGGAGAAAGTGCAGAATCGCCCACTGCTTGCCGCGTTTTTAAGGATTACACATACAACACCGTATCCATGTACACGTCGACCTGTTTTCACTTTTTTAATGTTTTTTTAAACATCCCAGAATTGCACAAAAATGGCATTTTGCACACTCTTGACTTTATCCATGTACAATGCTAAAGTCCTAGCTAGTAACCTTTATCGTCTTACCAAAATGTCGCCAAACTACCTGTTACCATATATTTGGAAGATTTCCTCTTCAAAATGTTTATTGAGAAACAGGTTTGCCAGCTACTTTTTCTGAAAGAAAAGTAATTGATGGTAGTGCAAGCAACTCATGAAGACCAATAGAACATCTTGGTTGATCTTTACAATATGGTAACTGGTAGTTTGGCGACATTTTGGAGGCGATAAAGGTTACTACCTGGGACTTTGGTAATAATGTGAGCAGTACTCAGTTCCGTTTACGCATTATTTTGTGTGAGGGAAATGAGAGATCATGGGATATGTCATGTGATATTAATGGACGAATTACGGTTCTTTAATCGGAAAAGGGGGGGAAATCGGGAAAAAATCTGGAAATTTTGTATTTGGCTTTATTCTGTGTTGTGTGAAACAGTGTTCGTGAATTTTTGGATCCCATGGCTGTAACTAAAGTGAATTGGAAATGGGTATTTATGTATGTATTAATTTAATGTATGTGCTCATTTATATTTTAAGTGGTGTTTTTGAATTTAATTATATTTTAATTAATGATAGTTATTTTGTGAATTTTATGTTTGTAGGATTTGGTATACGTTTAAGTTGAAGTAATGTGCATGGAAAATTTTAAATATTTGATACTAAGTATTTGTATGCTTGCGGTATGAATTCGTTGGTGACGTGTATAATGTAATAGATGATTTAGAGGTAAAAGTTTTTGGATATTTTATTTATTTATATGTGGAAATGTTCATATTTGGAAAGGGTAAATACTTTTTTCGCGATCAGGTAATTTCATATATGTTCTTTTTACCGGGTTTAAAGATTGAGAAAATTGTGATGTATTTTCGTGAAATTTTTCTAATTTATGAGAAAAAAGCAGTGTACATTGATATAGTGAAGAGTGTGCGGCAATGCCATTTTTGTGCAATTCTGGGATGTTTTTTTAAGTAAAAATAAGTCGGGCGTGTACATGTTTATGTGTATGTGTGTTATTTTGAAAACGCGTAAGGAGTACGGTATTGTGCACTTTTTCCCAATTTTGCAGTGAATATTTGTCATGATTAAGCAGTTTTGTTAGATAAAATTTCTAGCATAAGTGTAATTCAGCTAGTAGATTGTTGGAAGAAGTGTTCAGTAGATAAAAAGAAAAGAAACATGTCTTTACTTTCGTGAAGACAAAATGGCGGCAGGAAAAAAAAATAGAGGGTTGCTGTAGGAGAGTTGGTCGCCAAATTTTTGCCAAAAAAACGCCAAGTTACCATAATGTAAAGATCAACTAACATCTTATATAGCAGGGTTGGCCAAATTTCATGTCAATAAGAGCCGCACGTTTGACCCCAGGAATGTTCGAGAGCCGCATCTAGATTTTCTAAAAGCCACAAGTTCATATTTACATCATTATACAAGTAGTGAAGGAGGTTTTAAATAGAAAGAAATCCCTGATAACTTTCTAAAAAGTGTCTAACTAATTAATTACTTTCTTTTGGACTCTGAATAGTTTTAGTTTACCATATTTCATACACATATTTTATATGCATAAGCCACACAAATTGCTTGCGAGAGCCTTATCAGGCTCGCTAGCCACATTTTGGCCACCCCTGTTATATAGCAATGCACAGGCATGCCAAAAGTCAAGAAATCTAAATTGAAGCTTGTGATTTTATGAGCTAGATCAGGGGTTCTCAACCAATGGTACACAAGAGAAAAATAGGTGGTATGCAAAGAAGCAAAGTATTTTTAACTATTAATTATTAAAGCAAAGTATTTTAACTATTATTACCGTCACCATTATTAGTGGTGGTGGTAGTAGTACTTTGTAGTGGTGTACTAAAGGTTTTCAAGTTTTGTTTAGATATTCACGTTCAGAATTTCTTTCTTCATTTAAAGTTTTGACTCCTTCTTTAAAAATTTGCAATTTTACTTTGTTTACTAGTTCTTACCAGGTTGTTGTAAATATATCGATATGGAACTAGACAGTTTTACAGCTCCCTCTTGAATTTTCAGGCTTCTTTCAGCAGAAGGGTCTGCATTCAAGAAAAATGACTCAAGATTTTCAGCTAAGCTTAGGCCTTCTTTTAAATTTTTCGTTGTTAAATTATTAACTGCATGTCAGTGCTAGTGTCCTCAGAGTCGATTTAATTTACAGCTTTGGATGACATTTCCATCAAATCTGCATCGTCAATTTCTTCTTCCACTAATAAATCTTGAACGTCCTCAATAGTCATATCTAGAAAACCTTCGCCTCCGATTGATTTAGCAAGTTCCAATATGTTACCAATTTCATTTTCTGACGATTCACACACATTTTCTATTTCAACTGAAGAGGGCCATATCTTCTTCCAACAGGCATGCTTTCAGTGACAACAATATGATGTCGATATAGTGTTTGATTGAAAATTTCTTCCAAGCTTCCATTACATTAATTGATTTTGAATTGGTTACATCTAAAATCCACTGTTTACCACTAGTTTAAAGGTATAAATA